CTCGACACGTTCACCATTACGCCACATTGCCACGACTACCCTTGGGTTGTAGAGCTGATGTTAATTTTAATTTTTCCCACGTCACCTTTTATTTTGGGGTTGTCGATAAAGCAACCTTATATTTGCTATAGCAATAGACGAAAACCTACTTAAAACGAATAATATCATTTTATTCTGAAGTCAATGGATTACTTTTTAATTTTTTAAATCATTTAGTCAATAGGCATCATTATATTATACGAGAATTCGAAAGCTGATTCCCTGTTTAAAATTTTTATTTGATGCATTTCTCTTCCCTTGAATGACATCTAAATACAAAATTTAGCGTAATTTGTGCACTTTTTTATTCAGGCATCTGGTAAAAACATTCGTTTTGTCATCATGAACAACCTTCTTCCTTCTTCGATTAAGATGCACGAAAAATATGACCTCAAGGGATCTTCTCACAAACGAAAAGCAAATATGAGGGAATTGGCTAAGTCCTCACCTACATTGAAAGATTTGGATTTCAAGTAATTATGCTCCCAATTTTATCTTTTTTTGCTAATAGATAATTTCGTCACTTTACTTCTGTTTCTATATCTCAGTACTAAAATTGTGAATCATTATTATAATCACATTCTTCATGCTCAATGAACCATTGGTTTGAGGGCCTTCATTAACGTCGGTCGCAATCGGCTCTTCCATTATAATGCTTTATTCTGGATTAATTCTATTTATGAATTTAGCTCAACTTTTTATCATCCTACAGTTTATTTAAAGTTAAAAAGCATTGAGAATTATGTTTTTACTTTCCATTACGAAGGCATTAAAAGGCCTCCTTTTTTAAACTTTTTCACATATCGACTATCTATCGCCATAAGATTAAGTCAAATTTATTTTCTTTCTGTCTGTTGGTACATTCTCAGAACAAGGTATAAAAACTTTTAGTGCAGTTAATAAGCTTTGCCTTCAGACTGGAATATTTTCCGCATCTATTTAATCATGACTTCTTTCTCAATACATTAAAAAAACTTAACCTTATCTGATATTTAGTTATATT